CCGGGCCGGCCCCTCGGCCGCGGGAGCCGCCCGAGAGGAGCCGCTCGGCGCTCTGCCTCCGCGCCACCTCTGCGCAACCAAACGCTCCGCTTTTCTCAGCGCGCTTCAGGACAGCCGCGTAAGGACACGGTTTATACCGCCACGCGTGCCGCTCAGGCAGCGTGTCACCCTGGCCTTGGTGATACGAGCTGTGCCCCATGGGGGGAACCTAGTTAGCCCAGAGCGGCCAGAGCCCTGTCCGGGCTCATCGTGGCCACCAGCCCAAAGTACCTCTGTTTTCCATAGGTCACCCCACGGACACCTAAATGGGGCAGGTAACTTGAGCGACAACAAAGCTTCTACAGGAAGGGACCTGTAGAGGTCCCTTCCAACCTTAAATATTCTGTGAATCTGTGAATCTGTTCCTGATGCCTCTAACGGCCTAGCTTATGTGCAAAAATGGCTTGTCTAATACATATATATTTAAATATTGTGCTTTATGTCTCGTATGGGCTTTGTGTAACAGCAATAATTTGCTACCTATGTAACTGATGTAAATAGTATATCTTGCATATAATTCATGTAAATTGCATGAAAAGATAAGAAGCAGTGACTGGTTTAAGAGCAGACCTTCCCAGGCTGAGATACTGTGCTCTGCAGTATCTGATAGCAGAGATAGGTAAGGGATATAAGAGTATATAATGCAGTGTGTGGATGGGGGTCCTGCCATCTGCATTGACCTTCTGCTGTGGAGCAGCATCCTCAGATGAAACCAGTGCCCGCTACCGTTGCCAGAGCGTATCGCTCGTGCGGGAATTGATCCTTTTGAACTGCTTGTCTTCCTGGTCTCCATGTGCAGCAATGAGGTCTGGAATGCACACAAAGTCGAGACAGGAACCTTTTCCTGACAGTTTTAAACTCGGTGCCTAGTAGTTTTATAGGATATCTCGAATTTGTGTCTTCTAAGAAGCGTAGAGTTGTCATACCACACTTGTCTTCTCCACACCATTTTGTAGAGCTTTGTCATATACCTTCTGAGCCTTCTCTTTTCCCAAGCCATAGGWCTGTTTGGGCCACAGCTTCAAAACCACTGCGAGCTGCCATTGCCCTCCAAGGCAGCACGGCCACCAGCCCCCGCTGCCTGTTCCTGGCCCCCTTCCTTGTGTGAGAAGTGAACCTGGTGGGGGTAACCTAGCATTGAAGTTGAGATCACAGAATATTCAAGGTAGGAAGGGACCTCTAGAGATCATCTAGTCCAACCTTCCTGCTCAAGCCGGCACAGCCAGAGCATGTGGCACAGGGTGGCATCCAGGCGGGTTTTGAAGACCTCCAGAGAAGGAGACTCCACAGCCCCCTGGGCAGCCTGTTCCACTGCTCTGTCACCCTCCCAGTAAAGAAGTTCCTCCTCACCTGGAGATGGAACCTCCTGTGCTCCAGCTTATGCCCANCCATTTCCCCTTGTCCTATCGCTGGCCACCAATGAAAACAGCTTGCCCTCTTCCTCCCTGCATTCTCCCTTGCTGAACTTATACATGTTAGTCGGATCCCCTCTCAACCTTCTCTTCGCCAGAAAAAACAGGCCCAGCTCACTCAGTCTCTCCTCGTACGAGAGATGTTCCATTCCCTTAATCATCCTAGTTGCTCTTCTCTGGACCCTCTCGAGAAGTTCCACGTCCCTCTCATACTGGGGAGCCCAGAACTGCACACAGTACTCCAGGTGCRGCCTCACGAGAGCTGAGCAGAGGGGCAGAATCMCCTCCCTTGACCTGCTGGCAACACTCCTCCTGATGCAGGCCAGGATCCCATTGGCTTGAATATTCACTTCTAAATATCCATACCCTACAAGACTGCACTTTCAGGATAAAGCAAACAAGAAAACCATACTAGATAACCAGTCAAAATTATACAAAATAGGCTTTCATCAAGTAACAACTCCATCACCGCAAGAAAACTGGTAAACGAGCCAGTTCCCTGCTTGGGTGTTTTGAAACATGTCATTTCAACGGACTGAGCTGGGATCCAGAGAGAAATTACGTTCCTGAGTGTTTCACCTACATCTGTCTCATGTTTTTTGAGAAAATGGCCGATTCTACTGCACCCTCTGCTACACTTTAATCACTAACATTTCTAAACTGCAGTTACAAATTCTTCATATTAATCAGATTGACATATATAACTTACATGAAGAATGCTTGATCCATTTTTTCATACTGAAAATCTGTAATCTTTTTCCATATTACCTTATTGAAGCAAGCATAGTCAGGAACCTAGATATACTCATGTTAATTCCAAAAACCCAACAGAGCTAACAGGAATATAGAGATAAGATTGAAAGTGCCACAGGGAGTTTCACTAGCATCATTCATTGTCTAAAGGTGTTATTCAGTCATGAGTCTCCAATAAATATGGGACTTGGAATGAAGTCTCTAATTTTGGCAAGTAGTCAGTGCCTCAGTTTTATTTCTGACCTTACGTGAAAATGTGTGACCCTGTCTTAGGTTGGGGTATGAGTCCTTTCTGATCCTGGAACATGAGCAGCATGCAGAGAATCAGCACTTGCCTGGAGCTCGCTAAAGACATCCTTCCCATAATGAACATGAAAGTTCATACATAGCATTAAGTTCATAATTACCTGTTGCCACATTTAGGAGCATGCTTTTGAGWTTTTGGATGTCAAAGGAGCTGACAAGAAGAAGCTAGACTTTTGGGCTCTATTGACTGTTTAGTTTCTGTATGGAGGTAATGGTACTGGGAAAAGCAAGGAGATAGGAATGTGTAATATTGAGGATCCCAAWATGGGAGACTGGCCTTTCACGGGACTTTATGCAGTTACTGATGAGAGTTAGGCTTCTCTACAGAGAGGTTAACAGCAAGAAACTTAATGTGGGGGTAGATGAGTATCTGTATCACTAGAAGAGTCTTGAGAAGCCNCAGGCACACCTAGAGCATGTGGCACAGGGCGGCATCCAGGCGGGTTTTGAAGACCTCCAGAGAAGGAGACTCCACAACCCCCCTGGGCAGCCTGTTCCACTGCTCTGTCACCCTCCCAGGAAAGAAGTTCCTCCTCACCTGGAGATGGAACCTCCTGTGCTCCAGGTTATGCCCATTTCCCCTTGTCCTATCGCTGGCCACCAATGAAAACAGCTTGCCCCCTTCCTCCCTGCATTCTCCCTTCCTGAACTTACACATGTTAGTCATATCCCCTCTCAGCCTTCTCTTCTTGTGGGAATTTGTCATGCTTTTAGGGCTTAATAAAGTAGAAGAGCTTAGCATATGTAGATGATATAGTATAGCATAGGGCATAGAGCATAGGGCATGGCGTTGGGAAGATCTCACGATGTCATGGGAAGTTAGGAGCATAATTAATGCATGCGTTACTGATGGCCCCAGGAGAGGTTAGTCTCCTGCTTGGACAGTGGGTGAGTTCCTGCGCTTTGCTGGGGTATATAGGCAGACTGAAGAAAGCAATAAACGCCTTTTGCCGCATCCTCCATATTGGTGTCTGTGCTCTATGGCCCTGGGGCGGGTAGAACCCCAGGTCAGTCCGGCTAGCGAACGAGGCTTGCCGACCCGCGTCGGCAACAAGTGGTGACCSCGACATGATTGCTGGACTGGCGGACCACGGGCGGTCGTTGTGTGGGTTCCGGAACCATGAAGACTCTGGAACCAATTCCACTAACAGACTGGAGACTAATCGCGGCTACCTGTGCCCTAAAGGGCATTCAACTGCAGCGCATACCAGCCGCTTATCCGGTCCGAGTGCAGGCAAGGGGTGCGGTAGAATGGGCTCCCCTAGAACCAAAAACAGTGCAAACCCTGATGCAGTCCGTTGAGAACAGAATAAAGCATGCATCCTCTCGTATTCTACTAGACAGCATTCATGCGCAAGGGCTTTTACCTGTTGATATCAGACAACTGGCACAGTGTGTCCTTGCTCCAAGTGCTTGGCTGCTGTGGAAGGATGCATGGCAGACAAGATGCTATCAGTTTGCAGATCAAGGGGAGGAATGTGCTGTGGCTTGTGTGGATCTGCCTGACAGTCGCCCACATCCAGGACCTGTAGACCCTAAACAAGAGCCAGCTATGTTTCTGTCCAACCTGTGCACCTGGTGGGCTGAGGTACACTGAGAAGCCAGGAGAGCAGGGGATGTGAAGTGTTATCTGCTTTCCCAGTCATGTGTTCCTGTAATCAGGCTCTGCATTATCAGCCTTTGGAGTACAGCATAACAAAGGGACACCAAAAGCCAGTGTTAGGGAATGGGCTGTTGGCTCCTTTTGCCATGAACTTACTGGAGAACATAAGGAAGTCCCACTGGTTCAGAGGTCAAACACGAAGCAAGAAAGAGGAAGGCAATGAAGGCCTCGTAACGAAACTAGAGACCCTCACTGGTGGCCGCGTATGCGCACGCCAGGGAAAGCTGCATAATGATAAAGGTGGAGCTTTGCCCATCCTCTGGTCCCCTCCTGACACGTATGGGCCCTACGTGACAGGACACGCCAGGTATGAAAAGCAATTGTGGATCTGAGATGGGAAGAGACTCCAACCGAGACCTACGTTGTCTCTGTGGGGACGTCCACAAGCTTGGAGCCTGTCGGCCACCTCTCGTCCATGGAGGGAATGATCAGTCTCGCTATCCTGCTAAGCACCAGCCTAGTTAGTTTACAACTGAAGGAGAACATGTGGGTCAAAACGCCACGTCAAGGCTACCGAACACCTCGAGAATGAATCCACCATAAGATAGAAGTAGGAACTCCTGTGGCAGGAAGACTCTGCCAAAGTGCCTTCAAGCCA